CAAATGGAATCACCAYTTTTATTTTTGTAACAGGGTATTTCTCAGGTTATTGGCATGTTTTGAAAGCCCTTTACCTTGCAGGACAATGTGAACAGACAGCTCTACAGCAGCTGTATGGGAGGGGTCCAGGAAGGAGGGACAGGGAGGCTGGCTYGGCAGCAGTGGCCTGCCCATTTCTGCTAACTGGTCTTGGGCGAGGTCTCTGATTCCTGACCTCTAACATGGGGCTGGTGATGAGACTTGGTTCAGTGGTTGCAAGTGGTCTTAACCAGCACCTGGCGGCAGAGCCTGGGGGTCCTGCTGTCCTCACCGTTGGTGTTCTGAGGGAGCAGAGGGGGTGCTGCCTGGTGTTGAGGTGTGAATGTGTCCAGCCCTTGGGTCATTGCACACTGTGGCCCTGAGACGTCCACAAGACTTTGTTCTTGCATTCACTGCTTTTAAATGCAACTTAAGTGGCAATTTGGGTCTCACTGCCGGCCAGCTCTCCATGGCAGTGGTGAGTGCCTCCTGCGTTTTGCAGTGAAGTCCCATGTGGGAAACAGGACAGGAGAGGCTGAGCTGCGATTACTTCTGGCTGATGTGCTGCCAGGTGCTGGTCTCCACTCTTTCTTCTTCACACTTAGGAACTTTTCCACAGTGTGRCTCATTAACAGCCACAAAGCAAAAAGAGGCTGGGCGCCGGGGCCACGCTCACAATCCCTGCAGCTCGGGAGGTTGAGGCAGGGGGATGCGAGTTCCAGACCAGTCTAGGCAACTTAGCAAGGTCCTGTCTCAAAATAAAAAGGGCAGGGAATGTGGCTCAGTGGTAAAGCACCCTGGATTCAGTCCCAAGCACCACAAAACAAAAATAAAACAATAACAAAGAAAAAAGAAAACACAAAAGAATTCCACAAGAGGCAGGAGGGTGTTGGAGGCTGGGGCCATCTCCAGGCCCCGTGGTGCCGGCATTCCCACACTCAGGCACCATCCTGCAGCAGCGGATGGTCTCAGACAGGAAGCTTTTGCAGATAAGGCTGCAGCCATCCAGCTGGACTGCTGGGCCGTCCGGCAGCCAGGCAGGGTCCCCTCCGAGTGTTGGACTGGGGCCGGCCCTTGTAAAGAGCAGCCATGAGGCTTTGCGGCACAGTGTCCTCCTAGGCCAGCAGTGCTCAGGACAGCCTCCTCGCCTAGTGTGCCCAGGTAGGAGACACTGCCGACGGCCGGGGGGTTACTTGGGCACTGAGACATGGATGCGGGGACAAGKTTCCATGTGGGGCTGGAGATGGAGTTGGGCTGCGAGGAAGGTGGGATCTGGATTCAGGCAGAGACTGGGTTCAGTCATTCCTGGTGGGAACTTCATGGAGACTTTGATGACAGGAGTCAAGTCCTGGGGATCACCAGATGGGGTCACTAGTTATGTAAAACTCAACCTGCAGCCGGGGAGCCTGGTGCCTTCTCTTTTCAAACCACCGGGTCGTAACTGGCCACAGACCTCATCTGCCATTGTGAGAGYGTTGAGTGCAGTGGCCCTCCCTGGGGACCTGCTGTCTGCCTCACCCTCKGTAGTAAGGCAGAGCTGGGACTGGAGGAGGCCACCGTCAGGGAGGGACAGTCCTTCCCAGTGGGTCATCTCTTACCGGCAGGAGTCCTCTTGTCTCTGGAATCTGGAAAAGAGCTCCAGAGCGTGGCCCTGCTGCCTGACACCAGCCCTGAGGAACCGGGGTCTTGCTGGAGCCGCGGAGAAGGGGCACCTCCACGTCCAACAGCAATGCTTGAAGCCACTGCATGTGATAGGGGACTGYGGTGCTGGGCCGAGCAGCGTCCTGGACCATCTCTGATTTTGAGAAGGGACCAGGCCCATAATCTGCTTAAATCCAGGGAGACAAGAGGGAAGGGGCCTCTTCCTGCAGTGGTGGTGGTGAGGAGGGAAGAACCGTGTCCTGGCTGGAAATTGCTGTAAACCCCGGGGAGGGCACTGCAGGAAGCCAGCGTGGGCAGCTCAGTCTGCCAGTCAAACCAGCCGCCCCTCGTGCTTCAGGTGTGGCTCCTGGTGGGCATTTGCAGTGTCTGGGACGCCCTGGGTCCTGCTGGAGGTATTTAGCRAGTGTGATTGGCAGCTCGAGTCACGCTTTCCCCTTCCTTCTTCTGTCCCTGTGTGAAGTGCCCTCTCCCTGCAGAGCTGATCTCGTGGATGGCGCCTTAGAGACCTGGGCCTGGCTGGGAGATAAGGATGTTGTTCTTAAAGAGATCCTGCGCCTGCTGCCKCTTTCAGTTCATAAACCAAATTCCTCTTACGAGCAGCTGCACAGTCAGAGYGCTGGGGCGTGGGGCTCCTGGGGGGTGGGGCCTCCACCCTGTGCCTACGGGCCCTGGTTCATAGCTGGAGCCAGAGTCTGGGAGCGACTGGAGGGCAGGCCTGTGCCTCTTCCTGTCCCCAGGGAAAGGCCCGYGGAAAGCAGGCCCCAAGCACATGCGTGGGCAGGGGGCTGCTGAGCGGGGTTGTACCAGCAGGCCCAGAGTGGCTCACTCTGGCCTCTGCCTTGCCCTGGTCACCTCCTTTCTTGGGTGATAGCATCAGCCCATCCTTCTAGAAGTCACCGTAGGACCTGTACAGCAAGAGCGGTGACCGTTGCTAAACGCCCTGCTGTCTCTGGGCAGAACTGTTTCTGACCAGACAGGAAACCTTGGGGTAGCTGAGGAACCTCGAACACTCAGCATGGTTTACACCCAGCAAACACCAGGAAGGACCAAGGGCCGGGCGTGTGGAACGTGCTGCAAGGGTCAACATTGTTTTCAGTAGACGGAATCAAAATACTTGCTGTCCAGTTGGTGGCCAAGTGCGTAGGGTCAAGAGCGCTGTCAAGAGCAGGCCTGGCTGCACACTATGGCCCCTTGTTACCCAAACTCCTAGGAATTTCAGAACACTGACAGCAGAGCACTCACCCACATGTGGCAGCCATGGCCCCACACAGGTGGACCGTGTAGCCAGCGACCGACCCTGGGCATTCTGTGTGGACGTTAGATGTGGTGAAGACTCTGGGAGCTGGGCAAGGTGGCCACACACTTGTCGTCCCAGCAACTCAGGAGGCTGAGGCAGGGATTTCAAGTTCAAGTCTAGCCTCGGCAACTTAGTAAGGCCTTGTCTCAGAAAATGAAGAGGGCAGCCGAGTGTGGGGGTGACGCCTGTATTCCCAGAGGCTCTGGAGCCTGAGGCGGGAGGATCGTAAGCTCAAAGCCAGCCTCAGTAACTTAGCAAAGTCCTGTCTCAAAGTAAACATGAAAAGGGCTGGGGATGTGGCTCAATGGTTGAGTGACCCCGGGTCAACCCCTGGTACAAAACAACACAAAACAAAACAAAACAAAACAAAAAAACAATAAACACCCCCCGGAAAAAAAAACCAAACCAAAACCAACCAAACAGTGGTCAGCAGCAGAACAGGCTGGCCTCAGAGCACCCTGCACCAAGCCTTTGGCACGGGGCCTGGTCCGTGGAAGTGCTCCCCAAGCGATGGCTCTCCATAGCACAGAGACAGGTGTGCAAGGGCAGGAAGCCGGACTCCCGGCAGAGAGGCCTGAACAGCACCTCTGCCCACACCAGGGCAACACACGCACCCAGGAAAGTCTCCTGTCCACCCTGCCTCTGGTAGTGCGCTCATCACACAGGAGCACACAGCTCTGTCCTCAGAGTCACTGCAGAGGACAGAGCTGGGCAGCATCCGTCAGGTCGGAGAAAACAACTGCCATGCTCCTCAGAGACTATTCACCATTTCCAGGTGCAGGTGAGGAAGCATGGTCCGAAAGACTCAGCAATGTCCCAGAATCACACGCGAATAAGTGCTGAGGGCACTTATTAGGCATCACCTCTGTTATTCCCCCAGAGAGCCAAGGGCTTCTYATTTCCATTTTAAGATGAGAAAGCCAGCTCACAAGAGGCATGCTGTGTGCCCAAGGTACTGGTAAGTGGTGCAGCTGCTTCTGTGGCTGCCCATTAAACACCATGCCATCTGGTCACCAAAGCCCCAAGTGGTGGCTCTGTGAGCTGCACAGGACTTCCTTCGGGATCAGGCAGATGTGAATGGCATGTCTGCTCTGGGGTACTCGGGGTGAGCTCAGGCTGCAGCCGCGTCCCTCTGCCCCCCCACGCCCACCCCATCCCAGCCCCCATCTGTGACCCGTACTCTCTGCATTACTGTGACCAGACGGTCAGTAAGCAGCAGCTTCCTGCAGAGTGGGTGAACTGCAGAGTGGAGCGGAAAGGTTGGACACGAGAAGACTGCCAATGTGGCAGTGCCTCACGGAACCCAACTGGCCATCCAGGCAAATATATTCAGGAAAGTAAGCCTGTGTAGCAGTGCTGTTCACTGCTAGGGAACCAGGGGCTAGAGTTCAGGCGGTCAGTCGCTCTGGGGGCTGCGGCGGGGAGGAGCGCACCCTGACTTCACGGTTGGCCCTGGGTGGGCTCAGGTCCTTCCCTTTACCGCTCATCCTGTCCCTGTGTGCCGACCAGGCAGGATGGCAGGGAACCCACACGATGCCTCCAAGGTGTCAGACCAGGCTGGGCAAGGGGTGCAGAGGCTCATGGCATTAGTTGTGTGCGGAGTTCAGATTTTGCATCATAAAACATTACAAACTGACCAAGGAGTGTCACGGGGAGATGCTGGGTGGGCCAGAGCTCTCGTTGGAACTGMGGCTGCTCAGAAGGACCAAGCGGCTGCTCTCCCTCGCCAGTGTACCTCCCTCTCTCCCATTCCTGATTTTGGATTTACATCTTTTGCAGTCGGCCTGGCCCAAGTGTTTTTCTCTCAGGGAAAGCAGAAGGCCAGTTCCCTCTGTGATTCCTTGTGATTGGACACTTGACCGAGGGGTGGGTGCCTTGTGAGTTAGCCTCTGGCCTTCCCCTGCATGTGTGCACAGAGGACCCACGGCCAGCGAGGGGCCCAGTGGCCCAGAGGGCAGGGCCTGGGGACATGCTGGCCTGTAGAGTCAGTGGCTGTGACTCTGAGCTGTGAAGTGTCTCACTCCCCTGGCACCCTGGACCCGCAGAGGGCAGGCCGCGTTCCCCCGGCCTCAGGGCTCCAGGAAGGCGGAGGTGAGTGCATGGATCTTGGCACAGCCCTGGGAATGCTGCCCTTGCCCTCACTTTTGTCTCACCCTCCCTCTTCCCCCTGGGCCCACCCTGACTGTTCCTTAGCATGAGGAAGGCGTAGGGGGCATGTGACATTTCCCTTCATGGTGGTGACATCAGAAGGCCATCTTCACATGGCCTTTCCTTGTCATCGCTCGTGGGGAGGAGAGAGTTGGAGGGCAGCCCTTCCTGTTCCCGTCACAGCCGCTCCCGCGTGCCCGGACCCCCTCCTTGCCCTCGCCTTCCCTCTGACGCCTCTCATCTGTCCTCTGTCTTCCAACCGAGTGAGTGAAGCTGGCTGCTCTGGCTGCATCCTGCCGGGTTGGCTTTCACACGTTGTTGGATGATCGATGGACCCAGTGGTCAGGTGCGGGCAGTGTCAGCAGGTGGCCTTTCAGGATGGACATGTTGGTGCTGTGGAGCTCCCTCCCTCCCCCGGCCCCCCTGTTGGTCCTCCCTGGGCTCCCCCACTCCTTCCCTCCTGCCTCGACCGCTGGCCTTCATTGCTGCCCCCTCTCCTGTTCCTGCGTCTCTCCTCCTAGGGTCTGATGGTTTCCCTCTCTCAGGCTTTGAGGCCCCTCGTGATGAGGAACGGGGTGGGGGGCAATGAGCCCCACCCTTCCCAGGACAGCCCATGAGACCACTCGTGACTGCGTCCCCTAAATTCCCAGGGTGGGCTCCTTCTCCTGACCAGCCTCTCTGGAGGAGGCCACGTCTAGTGAGCCTCCTGTCCTTGTCTCCTGGCGGACAGGGGACGTGGGGCCTGGGCTCCTGTCTGTGAATGGAACCATTAGCATTGGTGCTTGGGCCGTTCCCTCTGGACAGTTCTGCCCAGCTCTGTGGGGGGCCTCCGTCTGTGCCACCTGTCCTCTGTGCCCGAGTCTTTTCTGAGGATCACATGGGGTCCTGGGGCAGGCCTTGTGCTGGGCAGCTCATCCMAGCGGTGACTGTGGACACGCTCAGCCTTCACAGGCTCAGGGCAGGAGGACTGCGAGTGTCCTGCCTGACTGGGGCTTGAGGCCAGCTCGTGGCCCAGCCAGTAAGCGAGCTCCAGATCCTGGAGGGGAAGGACAGGGTTGGCTGGTCGAGGCCCGCTTTGCTCAGTCACCCCCGCGCTCTGGAGTCCCTCACTGTTTGTGCCTTCCTTCCGTCAGGTCAATGTCCTGCCTGTGCTCATGATGAAGAGGGACCTGGCTCTTGCGGGCACGCTGACTGGCCTGGCATTCCTGTTGCTGCTGCCACCTGGATGTCCTCAGCAGACGGTGGATGACGCCTGCTCTGTGCAGATTCTCGTCCCAGGCCTCAAAGGTAACAGCTGGCCGGGCGCGGTGGCGCACGCCTGTAATCCTAGCAGCTCAGGAGGCTGAGGCAGGAGCATTGCAAGTTCAAAGCCAACCCCAGCAAAAGCGAGGCACTAAGCAACTCAGTGAGACCCTGTCTGTAAAGAAAAGACAAACTAGGGCTGGGATGTGGCTCGGTGGCCCAGTGTCCCTGAGTTCAATTCCCGGTACCAAAAAAGAAAAAAAAGGGAACAACTGGTCCTGTGTCTGGGGCTCTGGCCCCACAGTGGCCTCCAGGTGGCTCAGGGACCCTGAGCGTCTGTCTTACAGCAGAAACCCTGAGCCTGACTCCGGTTCCAGGGACAGCCAGGCATGGCTTCCCCCGTGTCACCCAGGTTGGGTCAYGGGGTGTCGGATCTCCTTCAGCAGAGGAATGGTGGGACTCTGGGGTCAGCAGTCTGTGTGCAGCTCAGCCTTCCCCTGGGATCCCCGGGTCGGGGCACCGGCTTGGACTCAGCCCTGGAGGATCTCATTGGTCTTTTGGACAAACGAGGGAGCCGGAGGCGCAGACGCAGTTCTGAGCCAGGCGCTTTAGAAGCCAGCCTCGGTGGTGGCCTGTGCTCCTTCCCTTGGCCTTGCGGACCTGGGGTGGCGCTCAGCACGAACCGTCCTGCCCCAGGTCCCACAGTGAGCTCCCACTCTGCCTCCGGACGGTTCTTCCTTTTAAAAATGAGAACTTTCTTTGTTGCTCTCTGTGACTTGCTTCCAGCTAGAGATGGCTCTGCAGGCCAGGCCTGGGGCGAGCCACAGCCTGAGGAAGGTCCTCGAGGCACCAGCTCTCTGGCCTTCCAGTGGAATTTCCACTTGGGAACGTCTTGGGCCAGAGACCCCGGAGCCGTGTGGGGTGGGAGGAGCTGCAGGCGCAGCTGCCTGAGTGCCCAGTGGAGCCAGCAGAACAGGGTCAAGCGGGCCACGTGAGCTGCCCTCCTGAGTGAGGGGCGCGGTGCTGGGCCCTGGCCTGGGAGGAGARGGCAGTCACAGCCACTTYCCACACCCCAGATCCAGTTTTGCCTCCTGCTCCTCCCTACACGGGCAGCCTGGGCTGTGGGCCCTGGAGCCAGCCTCTGCCTGGGCTGCTCTTTGTGTTGAGCTGTTAAGGTGGATCCTTGTAGCCTGGAGCTGCCAGACCCCTGTGAGGACGCCCGGCCAGGATGATCCCAGGCCTCTGCGCCTTGCACCAGGTCAGGCTGTGGTGGCCAGTGTGCCGTGCTGTCCTGGTGCCCTCTCTAGGGCCTTCAGGACATCACCGCTGATCCCAGGCCTGGAAGCCAGCAGCTAGGCTCTGCCCAGGCAGCCGTCTTGGGGTTCTCCAATAACCAGCTGCTGCAGGGGTCCCTGAGCCGCCTGGAGGCCGAGTTCTGGGAACTGGTTTTGAGCCCTGACTTTGAGGGCGTGTGAATGGATCTGTGAGTGGAAACTTCAAGTTTAAGTTGGGAGACGTGACTGTGGAGGTCATGTCCCCATCCACCATGTGGGACTCCAGAGTGTCTGTTGTGTCCTCAGGACAGTGGGCATGGGCTCCAGGMTCCTTCCAGTGGTTTTCTGTTCTGTCATGAGGAACTGTCACCTGTCTGGCTGTCCCTTCTCGTAAGTGCAGGTGGGGAAGAAGGCTGCTGGGGGAGACGGCCCACATGCACCTCACGCACGCTGCAGGGTGACAGGCCGCCTCTCCTCCCTGGCCGGGCCTCTCCAGCCGTGGGATCCCAGCCTCCCTTCTGCAGGGTTTGTGGTGAGGGTTCCTGTGCGTGGCCGTGGCAGGACYCCATGCCCCCCACAGGGTAGACAGTCGGCAGTCGGATCTCACTGCAGTTTGTTTCCCGCCTCCTAACGCGCGGCTCCACCTGGACCAAGTCTCTGGTAACAGACCAAGGGGGCAGGTAGGAGGACGCTTCAGCGGTCCTGACAGTTACAGGGAGGTGCGGTGCAGCTAAGGCTGGACAGGAGAGCAGAGTGTGAAATACCGTGGTCCCTAATTTCTTTTAAAACATAAAGACATATGCCACTGTTGAGGAAAGCCGGAAGGAAGCACGCTGAGCCGTCACCTCGGCGTGGTTCTGAGCCTGCAAGCCCCCTGCATGCAGCAGCCCTGGCTCTGCACGCACAGGAAGGCAGCATCAGCACCGGGTCTTCCAGTTGGGATGCACTTCTCRGGGCAGTTCTGAGCCAGGTGCTTTAGAAGCCAGCCTTGGTGGTGGCCTGTGCTCCTTCCCTTGGCCTTGTGGACATGGGTGGCGCTCGGCATGGACCGTCCTGGACAGGTGGCCAGCCAGGTCTTTCCTCTCTTCCTGGCCAGCTCCTGGGCAGAGTGGCACCTCCTCCATCATGGTTTGTCTGCACTTGAACCCAGTGTGGGGTCAGTGATGAGCTGGCCAAGCTGTCAGGCCCCGTGCTGCTGGTGGGGTCGGCAAACCCGTCCCTCTGCAGCCTGTCGACTTACTGAGCGCCACAGTGGGTGGGTAGGTTCTGAGCAGGGTCCTACCAGTGCTCAGACCCGGATCCTGCCCTGAAGGGCTGCTTATCGGGCGGGTGGAGAGACTTGCTCCTGGGTGGCCAAGCGTGTGGAATGTGCAAGCCGCGTGCGCTGWAGCCCACCCTCTGCATCCGGGGTGTAAATCCTCGCTTCCTGAGACCAACCCTGTCATCTGTCAAGGCCAAGGGGATGTGCACTGCAGGAATGTTGTGACACAGCTACTCAGGCCCTTGGAAACCTGACCCTCTGACAGTGGACGTGGCCAGGAGTGCTCTGTGATACTGGGTGTGCTGGCTAAAGCAGAATCAAAGACTTCCATGGTTGCGGTGTTTCAATGGGGCGGCAGGGAGAGTGTAGAGGGAAGCAAGTTCCAGGTTTCCAAGCCATAAAAGCTCAGGGTTCATGTAAGTTTTTGTGAACCATGWGCAGACAGACTGGCATCAGGAGAGAAGGCCCTGGCCTGGAGACAGCACCCTCCTGGTCCTCACGCACAGGGGCGGGGGGCGGGGGTTACCCCCCCAGCCCGGGATGGCCCACGATATGCTCAGCACACGTCAGCAAGTGGGCGAATGCCACTCTTCTCTGGGTGTCTTACCTGGACCAGGACTCACAGGCCCTGTGGAGAGTGATGCTCACAYACACAGCGCCAGGAGAGGAGGGAGAAGTGGCCTCCAGCCCCAGCCCCTCTGTGCTGAGCCCTGTGCTGTGTGGGTTTCCTGTTCCTAGACAGGGATGCAGTGACCAGAGGGCCCAGCCCCTGCTGCCCGGCTTCTAGATGGTAGCTTGCAACTGTCCAGGGAGGTGAGAGGTCTCCCTGCATCACGTGTCCCGTGAAGATCAGCAAGTCAGAGGGGAGCAGGGGAGGGAYGGTGGAGCCTGACGGTGTTTGTCAGAACTGATGAGTCAGAAATCATGGTGGTCCATGAAGGGAGACTATTTAAACACAGTACAGCTCTTGCTTTTAAGGGGAAATAGGAACACGGTGGCCGCTGGTTCATGAGACAGAATTTACTGAGAATCTTGCAGGGCTTGGCTCAGGGCTGGAGAGAAGAGCAGGGCCTCTCTGTGGAGGAAGGTGCCTGTCTGTGAGACGCGGCGCGTGCCCTCCTGGCCTTGGGCTCCCGGGACTTTGCAGGTCCACCTGTGGTTGTCGRATCTTCTCAGCACATACACCAGGCGGCCCCTTGACTGTGTTCAACAAAATGCATCTGTTGATAGTCCACTGTGTCTGCATTTAGAGAGAGACGGACTTTCCCTAATGGTTAAAGACCTCGCTGTAGGTGGGGAAACATGTATTTAAAAAATTTTTATTTTAAAACTTTTTAACATTGGTGCATAATAATCATACCTAACAGTGAGGTTCTTGTTAYGTATGGGAAAATGTGGATACGTATCAGGGAGACTGCTGCTCAGAAGTGACAAAGGGCAGGGTTGTTCTTACAGGTTTTATCAGATTAATTACAAATTAATTGACAGTAATCTCTCAAAACGAGGGCGGCCAAGCTAGCTGGGTCCTGCCGGACTCTTGCTTTGCTGGCCCAGGCAGTGGCTCTGAGGCCATGCCTCTCCTGCTCGTGACCCTCGCAGACGGGCTGGTTCAGGGTTAGGAGCCATGTATTGACCAGGAACGTCCGGGCCCTCCTCRGCTGGCAGCAACTATGTATCTAAGTATCTCATGTTGTGGATCTTTCTAGTGCAAAAAAGGCCCAAGTGCAATGTGGGCAAACCTTCGTAGGACGTGCAGGAGGCCAGGTCAGGTGGAACCCTGCCCCTTTTTCCCGTTTCTCCGAGAGGAGACACATCAGTGGTGGAGCAGGAGCGGGGAGTTGGAACTCTGACCCCCCTGGCAGAGATGAGCCTTGTCCTTAGAGCTCTGCATGGTAACTTGGTCCCCCTACGTGGTGTCTAAGAGGACCCGTATCTGTACAAAATGCTACACCACATTCCTGCGTGAAAGAGGAGACGTTGAAACCCTGGAGCACTTCGGAGGGTGGGAGCTGCTTGATCTTGGTCAGCGTGKTTCTCAATTGCAGGCCACCCTGGGCTCTTCTGCCTATTTCCGGYTGTCCGTGCGGCAGGTCACTGCTGGGTGGAAACTCAGTGCTAGCCTAGGTCCTGTCGCCGTCCTTTACGGGGTGCTGTTTTGAAACAGTGCTGTGTCTGTTCAAATGCATCTGTGTGCACTTATGACACTACTGTGGGTCACACGTAAACCCATTTACTCGTCCATCGCCTGGGCACCGGCTCCCTGAGTCCGGTGTCCCTTCAGCCTGCAGCACTGTCCTTAGGAGTTTAGGGAGGTACGGGCGGCTAACCACATTGTGGTTTTGCTCTCTAATTAGTGGTAGGCTGATGGTGGAGATGAGCCAAGGCCCTGGGGGAGCCTGTCACACACGGCACAGCGCCCTGCTCGTCCCTCCAGTTGGGGGCCTCTGTTGGGTCTGCTTCTGGGCCGTGAGCCCCACTGTGGTGGGTGTGTTTGCATGAGCTCTGCTTGGACATCTCGGGTGAGCGCAGGCCTGGGAGCGGACGGCCGGGTCTATGTGCCGTGTGCCCAGGTCTGAGAGGCTGCAGAGCCCCCCACTGTGTCTCCCTGACTCTGGGTCAAGCCGCAGTGTGTGAGGGAAGCCTACCAGTCCTGACACGGTGCCGTCCACTTGTTTATTTATTTGTATGTGGTGCTGAGGATCAAACCCAGTGCCTCACACATGCTAGGCAAGCGCTCTGCCTCCGAGCCCCAGCCCCAGCCCAGTGCCACTCATTTTTAAGGTGTTTCTTACATGTTGGTTGGAAACTATAGTCTGTGTATTTTCTGCTTAATTTTAAAACATCAAAGACTTTTTTTTTTTTTTTAATCTTTTCTTTTTGGAGCTGGGAATTGAACCCAGGGCTCTGTGGTGGGAGTCAGGAGCTTTGCCACCGGCTACATTCTAACCCAATCACAGTCTTTTTGTCGGTAGTTTTTAACACTGACCATTTTTAAAAATAGTCAGTTTTTCTGGCAATAAAAAGAAGAAAGATACTGTAACTGTCAGATTTCGGTGTGGATGAAAAGACATCTGCCCATCAGAAATAAGTGCCTACAGGTGACATAAGTGACCCAGTTGTCCTCAGAGGGGTATTGAGACTGGCAGCACGTGGGCTGGGCAGTGAGGAGCTGGTCTAGAGTCGTGCACCGCTCTGTGCTTGCCCGTGGCTGGCTCCAAGCTGCAGMGGTGGAAATGCCATGTGAGCCGGGTCCACATTAGAGCAGGGGCTTCCTGGTCAGCCAGGAGATGYGGGGTACACCGTCACGGAGCTTTCAGCCCAGTGGAGAGCAGGGGCAAGGCTGTGGCACAGGCCATGCAAGCACCCACCCTCKTCCAGTCTGATCGTCTCTGCTGGACTTCTGCCATGGTGCACTGCCCTGCTGTGTGGGTGACCATGCTATCCCAGTCCTTGTGTGTACATCTCAGGTCTGGCTGCTGCTCCAGCCTCTCCCTCCAGCCTCCTGGCTCCCCTGACCAGCTGCAGTGCCCTGTCCCTCTCCTCAGAATGCCTCTCTTGCTCTGCTTGGCCACGTCCAGCTTGTTCAGCAGCTTCACCTTAAAGCATCTCTCAGAGAGGCGGTCGGTGTCCTGGCCCACACATGTCCCTGTGTTGATGCTGTGGCTCCTTCTCTGTTTGCGGGGTGGCTAGCGAGCGCTCCTGTCAGTCTGCTTCTCATTCGCACGCTCACAGGCCCGAAGAGCTTTCCTCTTGGGTAGCTTTCAGACCTTGGGTAGTGACAGACATTCTGCCTGCCACCTGCGATGTCTGGGTGACCCCCCATGCGGGTCTCAGGGGGCCTTTTCCTCATGTTCCATCATGTCCTTCCTTCATGTTGGAAGTCGCAGTCACTAGGCCTTCAAATGTCCACTGGCTCCTTCTGTCCTCCTGTAGGGTGGACATTAGCATTTATTAGATTTTCCCTCAATTCTCAACTTGGCTCAAATGAACACCAGCGAAGCTTCCCGGTGGCTTATCTCAGTGCTG